GGGATCAAAATCAGGAAGGTCAAAGAGACCTAAGACCTGATGACCCCATGTGTGGGGAGCTCCGATACATGAGGGCTCATGTCAGGAAGGCCGTACGTTGTGCGGCCTGAAACCCAACGACCACAGCATGTGGAAGCTCATCCTTCAGGAAAGCCAGAGGCTAGAAACCTGACAGACCCACAATGTTGGGCTACCTCGAAAAAGGTCTAATCAGACCTAAAACCACAGTTGTGGGAGATAGCTTGAACAAGGGAAGTGCCTGTCGTAATGTATTGCGACAAAGACACATCTACAGTGGGACCCAAAGTGAAGAACCGGAGTCTGAACCACATAAGAAGGGACCGAAGCATACCGCGCGTGACCCTCACCATATGAAATGGATTTTAAAAAGTGCACAGGACATCTCGTCGGGTGACTTACCACAATAATAGGTGAAGTATGGGTTTGTGTACTTCACTCTGAATTCAGGAAGGCCTGGTGAGGCCTGTAACCCAGCAACCACAATATGTGGGAGCTCATAACCAGGAAGGCCTGTTGAGGCCTGTAACCTGGCGACCACAGTGTGTGGGAGCTCATGACCAGGAAGGCCTGGTAAGGCCTGTAACCTGGCGACCACATTGGGTGGGAGCTCGTACTCAGGAAGGTCAGTGAGACCCAGCCTGGTGACCACAACCTGTGGGAGCTTACTCCACCAAGTGGAAGCTACTTCTTCCAGAAGTTAGCCAGAGAAGGGCGTCCCTGTAGCCAGTGACAGGACGCCACTTAAAGTGGGACCCAAGGGAAGACCGGGGTCTGAGCCACATAAGAAGGGACCGAAGCATACCACGCGTGACCCTTACCATACAAAATGGATTTTAGAAAGTACACAAGACATCCCGTCATGTGATTTACCACAATAATAGGTGAAGTAGGGGTTAGTGTACTTCACTCTGAATTCAGAAAGGCCGAACTTGAGGCCTGTAACCTGGCAGCCACAACAAGTGGGAACCCATAATCAGGAAGGCCTGACAAGGCCTAACACCCGATAGTCCCAATGCATGGGGAGCTCACATTCAGGAAGGCCGCTGAGGCCTGCAGCCTGACATGTGAAGACTCACCACTACAACTTAGCGACCACGAAAAGTGGGGGTTTCACATTCAGGAAGGCCTGGTGAAGCCTGCAACCTGACATGTGACAACTCACAACCAGGAAGGCCAATGAAGCCTGAAGCCTGGTGACCACAGAGTGGGAGCAAAGTGCTCAGGGAAGGTGGTGAGGCTGTAGTCTGGCTACCGCATCATGTGGGAGCCCACATTCAGGAAGGCTGGGTGAGGCCTGTAAACTGACTACCACAGTATATGGGAACTCATAACCAGGAAGGCCCCTTTGAGGCCTGTAACCTAGCAACCACAATGTGTGGGAGCTCATCACCAGGAAGGCCTGGTGAGGCCTATAAGCTGACCACCACAGAAAGTGGGAACTCATAACCAGGAAGGCCCCTTTGAGGCTGTAACTTAGCAACCACAATGTGTGGGAGCTCATAACCAGGAAGGCCTGGTGAGGCCTGTAACCTGGCGACCACAATGTGTGGGAGCTCATAACCAGGAAGGCCTGGTGAGGCCTTTAACCTGGCGACCACAGTACGTGAGAGCTCGTATCCTGGTGACCACAGTATGTGGGAGCTCATAACCAGGAAGGCCTGGTGAGGCCTGTAACCTGGCGACCACAGTATGTGGGAGCTCATAACCAGGAAGGCCTGGTGAGGCCTGTAACCTGGCGACCACAGTATGTGGGAGCTCATAACCAGGAAAGGCCTGGTGAGGCCTGTAACCTGGCGACCACAATGTGTGGGAGCTCATAACCAGGAAGGCCTGGTGAGGCCTTTAACCTGGCAACCACAGTATGTGGGAGCTCATAACCAGGAAGGCCTGGTGAAGCCTGTAACCCAGCGACCACAGCATGTGGGAGCTCATAACCAGGAAGGCCTGGTGAGGCCTGTAACCCGGTGACCACAATCAGTGGGAGCTCATAACCAGGAAGGCCTGGTGAGGCCTGTAACCTGGCAACCACAGTATGTGGGAGCTCCCACAGATGTCTCTCCGTGGCCACCATAGCACCGACAGAACAGCAGCTTGCTTGGTGGCCCGGAGTCCCGCAACAGATCGGTCTGGTAGGCCTGAGGACCACAAGGGCGTGCAGAACCGCACCTGCCTGACCTGCTGCCGTGTACGCTCTGTCATTCAAGCATGAAGATGTCTTGAGCAGCTTGGATGACAGGGTCAGAGCTCTTAGTGAAGAGGACCAACCAGAGACGAGATAGTTAGCCAACGTCTCGTCCACTGGCGGCCTCGACACTTATCCGTTCTCCACGGCTCCCTCCACAGCAGCGAAACTAGCCTGCTGATGCAGATAGAGACGTGAGGAGAACGGATTCTTCCATACCCTCTCGATCCCAGCGTGGAGATCGGAAACGAATGGAAGGCTCATCCGGGCTGGTGGCTTATGGGTGGGGAGGAACCAGCCATCCAAAATACCATGAGCGGGTTCCTCCCAGACGCGCCTCCACTGCAACAGCAATCTGTCTGAGGCGCGCCCCATAATGTCAACCAGCTCAGCGTACACTGGGCAGGAGGGCTGAAATGATTCGGTCTCAACCAAACTGACATCCTTTTCTATATATATATATATATATTACAGCCAACTCCTGCCCTGCCCAAAGAGAACAGTTACAGATTCACCAAAGAGAGAGAGCGCTCATTTTCTCTCTTCTTAGATGTTCAACATTAATCTGTAACTCACCCTCGTCAGCTGGTAGATCATCCGCGAGGTTAACGCCCCTCTCCCGATAATCTGCCAGCTCCATCTGAAAGCTCCACGAGCTCAACCGCCACTGAGCCTCAGCCCGAGCGGGAACCGGAACCGCGGGGTTCAGATGCCGCGCCCACTTCCCTCGAGAAGTGGGTCAGACGAGAGCAGAGAGTTCTGAAAGGAAAAACTCTCAGTTCGCGCAAAAAACTCCCTCGAGAGCTTCCCGCGAATGCTCTTCTCTCAGGCAGAACACGCACAGATCGTGTGAATCCTCCGGTGTCAAATATCTGGACACAAGTCGGCACACTCGCGCAAAGTGTTTCTCCACGTCTCTGCGCGCTTAATCGTTGATACTATCACACAGACAAACAGTCCCTGAAGACGAAAAGAATGTTGTCACGGTTTCAAGGCGCCCTTCTTATACATCCAGATTGACGCGCTCATCATTCAAGCTGATGATGCACGGGCTGTCGCCGGTCAACCTGATTACTGTGAGTTGATATTTGATTTCAGACACCTGTCACGCCTGAGGCGTTCCCCATAGCGTCATTCGACGTATTGTTGAGTTCCCTTCGAAAGGGAACCTGTAGTATTTTCGAAATTTGTTCAGTCTGGTTTTAAAGCTTTTCATACTACTGAAACTGCGCTTTTAAGAGTTTTTAATGATCTTTTATTAATTACAGACTTTGGGGATTCTGCAATTCTTGTGCTTCTAGACCTCACTGCTGCGTTCGATACTATTGATCACGCCATTCTCATCTCTCGCCTAGAGCACTGTGTAGGCATCTGAGACACAGCCCTACAGTGGTTCAGATTGTATTTATCAGAACGATGGTTTTCTGTAAAACTTGGTGCCTCCTAATCGTCTACCGCCCCCTTTATGTGTTCCCTCAAGGTCCCTCAAGGATCAGTTCTAGGACCTCTATTGTTCTCGATGTAATTTTTCCCTCTCGGAAACATTAAAAGAAAACATGGTATTTCATACCATTTTTATGCAGATGACTCGCAAATATACAGTATTTACCCTTGAGACGAAACGCAAATAGTTCCTTGACCCCCCTACTTGAAAAGGATATTAAAGCCTGGATGTCTGTTAATTTTTTTTAATTAAACGAAGAAAAAACTGAGGTCATTGTGTTTTGACCAAGTCGGGTTTGTGCCGACTGTAAAGTGCTTTTACTTTGGTAACCTTGCTGTTTGTCTAAATTGTGCTATATAAATAAAGTGATATGGTATGGTATGTTTTCCACCCTCATATCGCCCTGAGATGAAAGATTTATGTATTTTTTGTCTGGAAAAAATCCTCAGATGACTCAAAAATCGTCATTTTGCATGGTCCAATGAGGCTAATGACTGCAGCCAGTGGTAGGAGCTGTCCTGCATGTTCTCAACCCGCCCATAGAGGTGGGATCTCACTCACAGAATGTATACATAGTGTCAGCCATCTTTTTTTAGAAGCTAAACTGGCAGGCTCTTGTTCTGTGGAGAAAGCTAAATAGTAGGGGTTACCATCCTCTTTTTCACAGACGTGTCCGGCCGTTGATGTCCGGGATGCAGCTTTTGTGTAGACCTATTTGGTCCCTTTTTAAAGACACTGCTTCAAAAAAAAAAGTCAATAATATAAATCAGCTTATATATAAATACTCCTGAAGCTGTAATCCGGTGCATATGTGTGTGTGTTTCTCTCTCTCCGTTGTTTCCGCTGCCTCTCCCTTTATGCAGTATGTACACAAGTACATGCATATACACTATTACAAAAAAATTGCTTTGTAATAGACACAGGGACGTTTTTCTTAGAGAAATGAAAAAAATAGTGTATTAATGGGTCCTAATTAGCGGTGTAACAATATATTGTGTCACAAAATATCGCAATACAAAAATGTAACTATCAGACAGTGACAATATGTATTGTGTATAGTTCATCCAAAATTAAAATTACTGTGTGAGAAAAAAATCAAGTTTACAGAATTTGTGTCAGTACTACATTATTGTTGAATATAATGTATAATTATGCAATGGTGAAATATTTGTGGGTCCTGATGGTGCCAAATGTCTTATGTTACCAGTAAAAAGTGGCCTACATTATTTTAAATATATCTAGTCATTGACAGAGTGCAAGCATATTTGTCTAAAATAATTCTGTATTTTAAGTTTCAGAATCATTCTGGTGTCAACATTGTCCTGTGCACTGGGTTACCAACACCAAGTCATATTTATATTTACAGTCACATATTTATTTCCATCACCAACACCAAGTCATATTTATATTTACAGCTATATTTATTTCCACCCCGAATGTCATACCAAACTGATTCTTAACAGATGTTAAATGTTAGATAATGGTAACAAAAAATGCTTAATTATGTGGAAAGTTTCCAATGTGTCATAAAATTTTTATAATGCAGATGTCACACATTATTATTCATAGATTATAAATAAATGTAACCTTTAAGAAGAAAGAATGGCGAAGACAGGGATACATTTATGTCTACAGTTATATAGTAGACCGTTTTTTTGTGAATTCTAAAAATATTTTTTGACGCCTCTAATACAGTATATTAGGCATACAGCTAACTGCTAATCTAATGAATACCATCACTTATATAAAGTATTAAATTGTGCACAAAAAAAACTCAAAGTGTTAGAGAACACAGTGCCTTCACGAAGAAGTTCGCTTCCACAACATATTCATTCTGCAATGTGCTGCAGTGGTATATCTTAAATTTGAAATAACAATTTATTTTACCACAACAGGAGAAATTTTAAAACAATTGTAATCAATGTTAAAATGAAAATGCACAATAAATGTCACTGTGGAGGTCTTAACAACATTTGATAAAAAAATAGGATCAGGTTAAAAACTAATTCTCTCATCAATGATCTCAAGAAAACTACCGTTTTTGGCCACCTCTCTATTGAATCATATGTATACACTTTATAACATCACATAAATGAGTAAGGTGTCATAAAACTACCGCTGAACATAAACATGTGTCTGATTAAGTCTCTTTAGTAACTGCAAGAGCCACTATCAATAGCAAACTGTTCGTGAAAGCCTTCCATCAATATTTGCTGGAACAAAACGACTCTGTGGTCAAGAGCCCCAAGAAAGCTAAACTGATATTCCAGAAGCTCTGCGGCCGCTCTCTCCATGTTCTGTTGTTGAATTTTTTCTTCTGCTTCTTTAAACATGTCCTGAGTGAAGCATTCTCCCCCATTTGCTGACACCATTTCATCAATTTTCTTCAATAAGATATTCACCTGCACTCGCTTCTTTGTGTTAGTGTTATCAAACACAGTATATCTACTACCACACCCCTGGATCACTTTCCGGAGTTCTGGATGGCCTGTTTCTACATAGTCGTCTATTGTTTGACCATTAAGTGAATCTCCATGAGTGAAGACCACTACCATGTATTTTGAAGCTTCTTCTCCGAAGAGCTCTTGCAGGGCTTGGACAGATTTTTGCTCCTCAGCAGTGAAACGGCCAATTTGTATCACCAGCAGAAACACATGAGGACCTGGTGCTGAAATCTGAATACATCTTACTATTTCTCTTTTGATGAGGTCTTTCGGTTGGCTGGTATCCAAAATTCCAGGTGTGTCAATCACAGAAATTTCTCTAGGGTCATAGACAGTTGCTTTTTGGCACAAGTTCGTGACAGAGTTTGCAGAAGGGCTTGAGTTAAAAACCCTTCTACCAAGGATGGTGTTCCCCACAGCACTTTTTCCCACTCCGGTTTTTCCAATCATTACTATGCGACGAGGTCCTCCTATTGACACAGCAAAATGAAGGACAAAAAAATACAGTGACAATGAAACCTGTACACATAAAATCAACTGATAGAGGCAGGGCAGGACTCCCTGTGACATATTGTAGAGTGTTTTATTTGATGTCTGGCCCTAATGTAGCATATTAAGGTACATATTTGCTTTATGAATCAAATCTATTAAAATAATTTTGATCTACATCAAAAATTATGTCAAAACAATTTAATGTAAGGCATGACACCTATCTGACCTAAAACTTTGGTTTAAGTTAACTTACTATTGTATTTTTGTTTATTTTATTTTGTTTTAAGTTACTAAATAGTCATTCAACAAACAACTCTGTTTGCTTTTACAGACTTGACAATAGCCATTCAAACTGTTTGATCATGATAAAATGTTTCAGCAGTTGTGAGCTTTCACCAGTTGAATAGAAATCTTACTAAACAACCAAAAGTCAAAAGTTTTAACAGGAAACTTACTTCGATCAGGAGAATCGTGGCGACGGCACAGACACAGACATTTCTTACAGTCCATTTTGTTCAGCAACAGTTTCTCGACAATGACTGAAACAATTTTTTTTTCGACACTGTATTAGTACAACATTTTCTTGTGACGTCACTTGTTTATTTTTTTGCAAATGTACAAAGTTAGCTTTTACTTTCATTTGATCATTTTCCTGCTTCACCACATGACAGAAATAGTTGGAGGTGTTTCTCGCAACCTGGTGAACAGACTAGAAATTCAACATGCCAAAAGTGGTTAGTGTGGGTTTTTGAATGACTTGTTAAAAATTTAACTTTAAAAAACACTTAGCTAATTTCTGTACATTCTTTGCTCTAATAGTTTCTATATTTTTACTTTGTACCTGAAATGATATTGCATTTAATTGTGAGAAAACTGGTTTAATAATTTATAGGAGGAAAATCTGAATATCACGAATTCCACAAAAATATTATACAGTACAATAATTCTCAACATTATAATGAGAGGAAATGTTTTGAGCACCAGATCGGTACATTAGAATGATTTCTGAAGTATCATGTGACACTGAAGACTGGAGTAATGATGCTCAGCTTTGCATCACAGGAATAGATTACATTTTAAAATATATAAAAAGAAAGCAGTTATCTTAAACTGTAATCATTATTTACAAAATAACTGTTTTACTGTAATTTGATCAAACAAATACTGCCTTGCAAAAAAAAAAAAAAAAAAAAAAAAAAAGATTTACTATTAATTCAAATTTTTTCTCAAAGGGGAGAGCGTGAATGTCCAGCCATTTGGAGGTGACTGCTGCAGACCATTTCCATAAACCAAGGCCAGATCCAAAAACCTGACAGTATAAAGGAGATGAAACCATCATACTCAGGTCCATGCATGTTCCTCATGATACTTCAAGACAAAACCATCACAAGAAGAGAAGAGATAGAGATAGATATGTTCCCCTAATTAAAATAGAGATTTAGAAAGTGAATAAAATAACTCAATAGAGACCAATCAAACTGATGAGAACAGCAAAAAAAAAATTCTAGATGAGGGTTATGTTTTCAGGAGCGCTATGAAAAGCCCTGAGCTGGTTCAACAGCAGTAGAAATCAGCTTAGTCCACTTAGTATGTTCTGTGTAACGGATTTGGTGTAAGATATTGCTAAATACAGTAAAGACAAAGTTATAACCCTATAGTGTAATGTCTAGAGTAACCAAAAGATGGCACAATAAACATATGCGAAACAATATATGAATCACTGTTCTAACACATTCTTTGGTGGAGTTTCAGGAAACATAGCTAACGAAGAAAAGTAGACAGAAACTGAGTTTGGTAAAGTTGTTTTTTTGCATAAAATTACCAAAGGCTATTTCCAGTACCTCCACCCACCACAGAACCTGATTTCATATCTATGTTGATCCTAGAACAACATTTCAATCAACCAATCAGATTTGAGGGACACATTTAAAGTTCATGTCAAGTTTATGCTTACAATAAGAGTTTGGTGCTTCTATTAGTGTTATTCACCTATCATTACCCTCTGATTTTAGGGATAACGTATAGTTAGGTTTAGGGAAATGGTTGATTAAATTTTTTGGACAGGAATGTTGTTCCAGGAACAACTAAATATGTTGACGCCTAACTCTGCATAATCAGGACGTGCCCATGCTCCCACCATTGCTTAGATATTTTACCTTTTTACCTTCTTTAGAAAGTCTCACTCTGTAGAAAATGATGATCAAAGCCTGACATTTTAGATTACTACATTAAGACAAACATTTTCACAAAAAACTGCAGAAGAGAACCAAAAGACAAGCACAGCTGTTATCCAAAATAGTGACTCGACGTGTTATGCCGGATTTTTGACAAGCCCTTTATTCTCGTGCATTTAAGACAACTATATTTTTGCTTTCATTTATTCATGACTGTGCTTTCTAGAGTGCGTTTAATGATTCTTACTCTGCTCATTATTTGTTTCTGTTAACGTGGAATAACTCAACATGTTACAATGTAAGTAAGCTGCTTGTTTTTTAAATACATTTTAGTCTATTTTGTAAAATTGTAGTGATTTGACTTGATGGTTACTCATATTAATGGCATTAATTTGATAGTCAAGCTCAACTCTAACCTTGTTTCCTTGTAAAATAAAATGACAGGATTAAAGCATCCTTCTCAAATATTTATAAACGAGCAATGTATATTATGTCATCAAGGGTTATAATTTAAGAATTAAGTAAATTCCTAATCCAAAACTTGTTATTTGTTATAGTGGAGTATACAAAGGTGGCGCAATCAAACAGAGGCGACAAGATCACTATGGTGCTGTTGGGAAAGAACAGCAACAATAAGTCTATGATAGGGAACATCATACTAAAGGCAGAGCATTTCATAGCTGGAAAAGAGACATGCACAAGAGCTGAAGAAAAACTAGGTGATCAGATGGTCTGTATCATCAACACTCCAGACCTTTTCCACACGCCAAATCAAGATCCAGAAACTGACAGTATAGAAGAGATAAACCCCCAATATCCAGGTCCACGTGCGTTCCTTCTGGTACTGCATGACAAACAGCTCTCACAGGAAGAGATTGATATGGTCAGCCAGCTTAAAAAGAGATTTGGAGAGAAAATGGTGGAAAATACAATTGTTGTGATAATTAACAGTCAAGAAAAGCAACCAGGACAGCCATATGATCAGGCTGATGAGAGTCTCAAAAAACTACTAGATGAGTTTGGACAGAGAATTTGTGTTCACAACAAGAATGAAGACAAGAATGAGCTGACCAAACAGGTTATGGAAAAATGGAAGGCAGTGCACAAGAGGCAGGCTGTTGAAACAAACAAATCCACACCTGCTGATGAGCCGTAAGACATACACTTGAAAGTAGTGATTAGATCATTTTTACAAAAAATAAAAAAATACTTATAAATTCCTTTAGCCCTATAATTTGACCTGTAACATCATCTCAATCCTGCAGGTTATATGAAGACATGGATCATTATGAACCAATGAAGGAAATACCTGAAGTGTCAAGGATGCCTGAAGACAGCAAAAGTATTACTTACAGATTTCTTATTCAATTTACAGATTTCTTATTCAACTTACTTTTCTCTGTCATCCAAAAGAATATGTTAAAATCAACATGCTGTTTTTTCGAACCTGACTTTCACGTCAATCTAAAGTAGTCAAATAAGTTCAACACACTTTTTTATGTAAAGCAATGTTTTGGATGCTATTTTCCTTCACAATGTGATTTGAAATGTTTGCACATTCGAATTTGTCCAGTTAAACGTGTTTCTGGGTCAATACATTTTGTCGTCAGATTCCGGTCTGAAAATTTTGTCCAAACCCCTAAACCTAACACTAGTTGTAAGCCTAAATCTGACATAAACTGTAAACTTGTTCCTCAAATCTCATTGGTTGATTGGAATGTTGTTCCAGGATCAAAAAAAATGTTGATCCAGGAATATGTTGTACTTGGTGAAATCTGTTTGTGCGATGTTGCACGCGCATTCTGCGGGATCTGGTTTCTTCTCAGATTGCAGTTCACTACAATTCACTAACAAACGGCAACAGACACTTCATCAGGCTTTGTCACCCCATCTGTGTCTGTTGCCATCTGTCGAAGCTTGTTTTTGCCAAATATGCTGAAACAGCGTTGCGTTAGAATGTCTGAAAAGTGATATGCTGTAATCTGGTGACTGACAGCATTAGTCTGCATCGTGTATAGTGTGAATTGGCCTTAAAAGTACAAGATGATGATGAAACGTGTCTGTTTAAACTGTTTTTTAACTGGTATATTCTGATAGTAATAATAATAATGAAACTCACCATTTAATTGTACATATGCATAGGATTTTCACCCAAATCTTCAAACTACATTCACAAAATCCCTGACTCTTCTGGCAAAGCTCAAACCATTTTACCTGCATGTGCTCAAAATCTAACAATGCTTTCCAATCATACAAATCCAGTCAATATATAAACTGTAGAGATCATTCATTAAAAACTACATAAAAATGCAGAACACAGCATCTAGAGCATCTAGTTACAGAAAAAAAAATTATATTGTAAATACAGTTGACAAAATTTGCAATGAATTTTTTTGGGGGGAACTTTGAACAAGGGGGAATTTTCAAGCCCCACTGCCCCCCTCGCCCCAACACAACGATAAAAGCTTAAAATGTTCAAATTTATTGAAGTGAACTTTTCCCCACACTTTGAGCGGCGACTACCATCTGTAGTTAGGGGGCCCCCTAGTGGCGGCGGGGACCTAAGTAGCCGCTTAGTTAGCTCACAGGGATAGCCGGCGCACGCGGCCACGAACTACACAGTTTTGAACATACGTATTCACGCAGCCTTTCAAAAAACCAGGACATTCAGTGTCCCGGGAGAGTGCTTAAATTTCCCGGGACAGGTTAATAAAAAGAAGGACAGGTGGCAACCCTATTCACAGTGATAACATGAAAATACAACACAGATCAATAATATTGTTGAACATAAATGTCCCCAACTAAGCAAGCCAAAAGCCAAGGCAACAGTGGCAAGGAACCAAAACTCCATCAGTTGATTGAATGGAGAAAAAAAAAACCTTGGGAGAACCCAGACTCAGTCGGGGGCCAGTTCTCCTCTGGCCAACGAAGGAACAGTGATTACAAAACAAATTGGATCGAAACATTAAGAGAATTTGTTCGTTTCCATCTGTCTGTAAGTCGAAGTAATCACGCCGGTTTGGAGACGAGATGTTGAGGATCAGTGTCGATGGCTGTCGTGTCGATGAGGCTGGCACTTAAGGATGAGTCGGGATGGGTCCAGGCGCAGGTCCACCATAGAGGGTCCCTCGGGATAAACAGAGAAACTAATATTAGCGTAGACGCCATCCTTCTTTTGATATACCAAGTACATCAGGATTTACGTTTTGTTCCCGTTTCCGGCTGATCTAAACTATGCAGCCTAATTTTGAATTTAAGTCTATAGTGTGTTATGTGTATGCTAGGCCAAAGAGATGTGTTTTTAGTCTAGATTTGAACTGACAGAATGTGTCTGCTTCCCGGACAATGTTAGGAAGATTGTGCCAGAGTTTTGGTGCTATA